AGTGCAAAGGAAATTTGTTTTTGAATGCTCCACTCATGTGCTCAAATTGGTATCATTTATCCTATTGCATTTATTCATTAAGTATAATCACATTAGTATGACTATTAATTATTGGTTTATGTGTGTTCACTCTTTGATATATATGCTTGTTGAATATGATATCATTTGATGTGATTATTAAAGTTTATGCAAATTAATGAGCTTGGCATAGTAGATCCTGGTGCTTGATATGGCTTTTGAAATTAATGTATTTGCTAATTAGAATTTGTGTATATTGATGCTTTGATTTGTGTACCTTGATTATATTCATGCTATTTGATGATGCATACATTGATATATGACTAAAGTTGCATTATCTAGTAGTTGATGTCCAATTTAATCTTAGTTAAATGAAGAAATATCAATTTAAGGTGCATTCCCTTCAAAACAGCCCCAAACTTTCTGTTTGTCCCAATCAAGGCCAGAAGAGCCGGCTCATCCCTTTTCACAGCCGGCTCAACCAAAAACCCGAGAGTATTCTCTCTCTACAGCACAGCCGGCTCTAGGTTCACAGTCGGCTTAACCCAAAAACCGAGAGTCTTCTCTCTCTAAGCCACAGCCGGCTCTAGGTTATGCAGCCGGCTCAACCTGCAGGCAACCCGACCCGGACCCGCTCTTCAGCCGGCTCTGCAATTATAGCCGGCTCTCCTGCAGATTTTTAAGGCTCGGGTTTCTCTCTCTCCTCGCACAAACCAGTCAGATCTGTTTCATTTTCTCACCCAAACCCACGACCTCTCCTCTCCCAAAACTCGCCATTCACTTTCCCAAACACCAAAATCTCTCCAAATCTCCAAAACCCATCCCTTAAACACTCAAATATCTTCAAATCCTTGCCCACCCAACACAAATCCACAAGCTTTTTGCTCCAATTTTGGTTGGGATTTGCTGAGTTCTCTCTCTCATGGCTTCAAGAAGGGGCGGAAGCAAGAGGAAACAGATTGGGAGTTCTAGTGCCGGTGGCCAAGCCCAAGAAGAAGGTAACCTCGTTGATAATGCTCTGTTTGTGGATGATGATGCCATTAATCGCTATAATTTTTTCAAAAACTTGGCTGTGCTATCTTGCAATTGTGTGAAATTTAGTCAATTTCCTCAAGGAGATATGCGTGTTGAACAAATGTTTAGGGAATTTGGGTGGAAGGAGTATGTAGAAATTAAGGAGCATGTGTACTATGAAGTTGTTCATCAATTTTATGCTAATTTGAAACCAAGAGGGAATAAATGCAAAACTATGGTTGCTGGGGTATCATTTCAGTTTACACCAAAGGATATTTGTGTTGTATTAGCTATACCTGAAGGAGGAGATGATGAATTTCTAGATGCGAATCATGCCTTAGTTAGAGCCACAATTGCCCCTAATTGCACTGAAAATCAAATTAAAGTGGGGTCTCTTTCACCAGAAAATAGAGCATTGCAGTGGATTATATCTCGCATTATTGCTCAGAGGAAGGGTTCTAAATCTTATGTACTTGCTAGTGATTTTCCCTGGTTCGATTATCTTCTTAACGGAAAAAGGGTGAATCTAGGAAGATACATTTTCCGGAGCATAATCAAGTCTTACTCACCCACTACGGGACTTCCTCATGGTGCTCTAATTACCAGATTGGCGAAGAGGAACAATATTGATCTTACCTCCTTTCGATTCGGAACGATTCCTGGTGGGACTACACTTACCAAAGCCTCTTTTGAGAAAATGGATTGTTTATTTAGAAATGGCATGTGGATAAAGAAAGGGGAACAAGAAGAGGATGAAGAATAAGCTGATACAGATCAAGAAATGGCAGAACAAGGGGCAGAAGAACATGAAGATGACAGCCCAAGACCATTTCGAGCTTCCATGCAAAGAACTAACCGTGAAACCATGGAGTTAATGATATCTGAGATGCAGCAGCTGCACACCGACTTTTATGGTTTCCGGACAGAAATGAGAGGGAGAATGACTAACGTGGAAGGAAAGCTTGATCGGCTTGTTAACCATTTTTTTCCTCCACCCCCACCTGATGCCACCTAACTTGATATCTCTTTAGTTTGGCTAATCTTTAGGATGGACATCTTAGGGTTATGCATGTTATGCTTTTCTTTGACTATGGATATTTCTTGAACATTTTTATCTTGTTTTATGAATGGAAATGACATAACTTGTGTTATCATGCCTTGTGAATGGTTGTTTATGATTTTGATGAGTATATGCTCTTATTGAGGGGGAGCATTTTGTGCTTAAATTGCTCTTCCTAATGGTTATCATGCTTAAATGCTTTAAAGATTGATGTGCATGAATTAAGGGGGAGTTTGTTGATTATGTGCTTTTTGATGAATGACAAAAAGGGGGAGA